TCGGCCAAACGGGAACCAATTCGGTTACTCCCGCGGCAACAACATGGTCTAAGTTATTCCACGAACGCGACATACACGTCTTCTTAATTTTTTAGTGTCTCAATATATCGGTTAGAGTATACAGTTATCTTTTTTTTCAAGTAATCCGTTAGATAAACTTGATTTTAATATTTTTGAAAATTCTATCACAGCTAGTTGTTTTAATCTCGTTGACATTAGGTCGGTACTAATCTCCATTTTGACTCATACTAATTAAAAACAAGTCTAGTGATTTTCATGCGCGATTAACCAATTATAAACAATAGTAATAGCTATATTTTGACACCAATTTGAAGTCTTTATCTTATTAAAAATGTGAGTTATCGGCGATTGTGCATTACTTATCATTCGCCCCTCGTGTATATATATACGGTATGTAAACCTTTAATCTTTTCGAATAGTAGGACGAGTTAATTTACTGTTCTGTAGTATTTAATTTTAAAATTCCTTTTAGTTTAATTGCAGCAGTCTTAAAATCTGAGCCAATCAGAACTGCATTATTCGGAATACCGGAAATATCAAACGAAATTTGATACAATGACATATTTGATAGCTGGTTAGTAATTGCTTATGGTGATTAATGTCCATGAAAGCATTGTTTTTGTAAGTTTGTTCATTAATACTTACATAGTACATAATATATTACGTCCAATGGATTGCTTTTAGTTGGACTCTACATTCTCAGTGAAAAGTTTGATGCCCATTTGGTTTCAGTACACAAATATCATACAATTCGAAGTATATTTTGGACGAATACTCGATAATATCGTTGAAACTTTCCAAAGAGGAAAATTAAATTTGGTTCAGTAATAAATTATCGAATAATATTGTATTGTGTATTGTTATAAAATATTGTACCGGATGATTTGAAACCTTACCATAACTAAAACGAAATATTATTATTTTGGTCTCACGTGATTTTGTCGGAAAAATTATCGTTATATTTATAATACTGGGAGGTGAGACTACATGAAATGAAAACATATACTTAATCGTCAATCCGGTTTTTCGGTTTATAAATTGGAATACAATAACGTATGAGAAATACCATTCATTGATTCACTCACTAATTACTACATTTCATAAACGACATGATGTACCATATGAACTTAAAATTTGAGATGGTGGTTTCTAATAATTTAAATGTGCAATAAGAGAATCGGAACAGTTTTGGGCTGGATGTATACATTTTTTCACTATTTGGTTACTTGAGAAATATTTTATTTATTTTAGTATGTTAATTTTAATGATCACCAGTTGAGATATATGTAAATTAATCTAAATATATATTTATATAAAAAAAATCGCTTGATATTCTACACACTAATAATGAGGGAGAAATTGTAAAGAAAATGGTTACAAGTATATGTGAAATGTGGCCTCAAGTTTAAATAGTTAATGGCGAAGTTCAATACAGCCTTATTCATTTGTTATTTGTTCATCTCAAATGTCGGTCGAATGAGCTGACTGAAATGTCGAAAGTATAACGAACACTTGGATAGAGACTAAACAAAGTATCAAAGTATTAAATGGTCTGAATTTGTTCGAACTGTACAATCAATGAAAAATCCAGCATCGCATTAAAATTAGTTACACTTATAGTCATTTTTCTTACATATATACTCGTATATATAAGTGAAAAAGGTTTTAAAAATTTGATTGAATACACAGTCTAAACCTCTAAGTCTAAATTTTAATTTTTAGTATTATTTTAACATTTTTTTTTCTTCTTATTTTTATTAATTACATCGGATTTTAGTACGGTTATCGTGAATACGGCGGCATAATGGCATTGATTGTTTTATTTTTCATGAAAGGAGGTTTACATTTTGATATAAGTTCAAGATTTAAATTTAAATATGACACATTTCATATATTTTACTTCTAAAAATTGAGGATGATCAACTATGAACTCAATAATACGAGTATTTTAGGTGCACCGGATATGTAGGCGTAATTATTTTAGATTACGGTTTTTAGTAAATCAGTATACGTAGCATAGTGTATCTTGATTAATTACAAGTTTTCACTTGGCGTTCTGACACGTTTTTCAATCTTATTTACATTCATGTTAACACCGGTTACCAAAACATGGTTAAAAAGTGTCATACGGTATTACAGATAAGTTTTTTATCATAATTCATAACAGTTTATAAAAGTTAATATAATAATAAATTGAATAATACAATTTACTGATAGTTGATATGTCTGGGATATTCTGATTCACACTGGTATGACACGTTACGAAGACACGACAACAAGCATTGTCTGCAGAGGTATGTAATCCAAATACGACAGACAGACGCATTACTTAGATAATTAACGGTAGACAAAAAATACAAACACTACAATTGTAATATTAAAGAAAACTTAAGCCACCAAATTTTCTTCTTCATTATTGTATTTCGTTATTAGATACACATAAAAAACTATACACACATAAAGTGAAGAAATATATAAGAGATAATTATTATAATTTAAACACACTCGTAAATAAAGTATACCGGGACCGTGGAATATTACTGATCACTCCCGGTCCCTACAATAATAGTATTATAAAAAAATATTTAATTCATATTTTAGTTGTATAAAATAATGTTTGATTCAGCAAATAACATATTTGTACAGAATCTCAATGAGACGCGATAATGGAAATTTGCCGGTTGCCTATTCACACTGAAACGACAATGGTCGAACCGGAACTGCCACCGACGGACTGACAAAACATTTTTCTCGCGAACGGGTCGGTCGGTTGGTCAGTGCTGGTGCGGTGTTGGTCGTATCAATATGAATATCATCATAGAAATTGGTACGTGTTTCAATATTTTGTCGTATCGTGTCATGTCCCGCTGTGAATACCAGTATGAATCAGATTTATCCTTATAATGTCTGTATGTCTAATCAACACTTTGCCATTTTATTCAATTTTAAAATAATTACAGAGGCAAGTGTGAGAAAATATAACAGTTTTTACTATGTTTGCTATGGTCTACGACGCACATCGGGCACATAGCCGTTTCCTATAGGTGCGGTAGTTGGGTTAGGCACGTCGTCGTACAGTTGTACATTGATTTATATTTTTAAGTACAAAACACGATTTCATATTGTAAACTATAGTTAAATAATGTCATTAATTTGTTATTTATACGAAAATATGAAATAGACGATGTTGTTTTAATATATACCCGTAGTGTCTTCAAATTGTGTAATACTTGCATAATGAAATTGTTATGGTAATATTCAGCATCTCCCTCCAAGTATTTGCTTAAATGCCGTGCCAATCGTTAATTAAGTTCATGAGTCATTTAAATAAAATTTACAAACGAGTAGTTTCGTCGCAGAAAACCTAATATAACAACCGATAATGAAGTAAAAAGGCGTTTGTATGTTCTTAATATCAATAAAAAAATATAGTATGATTTACAATGGAATTAACAAAATGACGATTATAAATTTTTTTATTTGCCTATAGTTAATCTGACATAAAGATAAGCATATATTTTCATGGTGAAGCCAGGTGAATTACCTGGTTAGTGTATATATATCAGGGGTGGCCAAACGGTCGATCGCGGATGATTTCAGAGTCAATCATGTTATAATTTTTTTTTTAGGCCATGTACACGAAAATTAATCATGGTAATTATGAACAAATTGTCGATAAGTTTTATCTGTTTAGTTTTTATATTTTATTCTGGTTTATAAAAAAAAATTTCCAAGAAAGTCGATCTTCAAAGGTGAAGTATATTTTTAATAGATTGTGGCCGAAAAAAGTGTGGCCGCCTCTGATGTATATAAATGTACATTTTAGATTACATATCATCAATTTTTATTTTTACAAATAACTGAAGTAAGTAAATAAACATAAGTAGCACAATAATGCAGTAGAGTCGTGATAACTCAAAAAACTTGATAAATCGAATATTTTTTCATTTAGAAAATTCTCATAGCATTTAATGTATTATGTCTTGTTAACTCAAACATAAAATTGTGATAAATAGTTTAGTATCTATTAATTTTCTTAAACATACTAAAAATAATTAATGAGTAGAGAGAAAATGAATAATTAGTGCACGCACAATAAAATAAGTATGTACTGCTTAGTATGTTTAGATCTAGTGTTATAAATTTATCGTGCGTATTTTTCTATATATGTCTCAAAAACTAAAATTCAATTATTTAACTATAGCTGAAAATGTTCATATTATACAATTGGTGGAGAAAGATAACAGAAAAAACAAGACATTGTGAAAAATATAATGTTTCACCAAATACGCTGCCAACATTTTTAAAAAACAAAGTGGATATTTTAAAAGAATATGCAGACAATAATTATGACAGTAAAATATCGAAATCAGTCGAATATTCAAGTGTTGCGATATGTTTATTCAAATGATTTACTCAATTTAGAGATAAAAATACATCTATAAGAGAACCACATTAAAAAAAAACAGAATATTTTAGAACTTAATTTAGTTTTTCAAACTTTAAAGTAGACTGTTAACTGATAACGAAATCATGAGTATAAATATATCAAATAATGATTCCAAAACTGATGAAAATTATGAACCTCAAAGAACTTTAAATATGATTATGGCGAGCCAAGCAATGTCATCATTAAAAATTGTTTGGAAATTAGTTGAATTTTCTGAAGGCATGAATACTTTTTCATTCAAAGCCGTAGTTAAATTAAAAGATTTTGTCAAAAAACAGCCAAAGATCCAAAAATAAATGTACAATTATATTTTTACTGGATCTAAAAAATCATATATATGTACATATTTATACTATTGTATTTTTTAAAAATTTTTTATAACATTAAGGCACATATATTTATCATAACATTTTTATCGGAAAATTTTAAAATATTTTACTACATTACTCGAAGTTTTGACCTAATAT